TTAAGGCTTCCAAGTATTCTACCTTCCAGGCTTTTCTCATCACAGAATTACACAGCTTTCCTCTATTTCCTTCTGCTCCTTCTCTAATCTCAAGCCACCCTTGCTCACCACTGTTGCTAATGTTCCATGTATCAGGATGTCAGGCCCTAGCCCCAATCTTGGGAACTACAGAGGGCAGGAAAAGGGCAGGACTTAACTGCAAGCATGCACAGAGCATTACTATGCAGACACTAAGTGGTTGATAAGGTCGCAACTGAGCCAGACCTGAGGTCTCGCTGGTGTCACTACTCGTAATACCAGTCAGCTTTGGTTTGCTGGGCAAGTTATTACCTTTATTTTGGGGGATTCAGTTGAGCTGCTTCGTTCTGCTGTTTCTCCCTTAAGCTCTTCTAAGGTGTTAAATGTCTAATAAGTCCTGGCTGGTCTTTCTTACTTGTAAAGAATGATTAGATCAGTGACTCCTGCATGCTTCTCAACAGAACAAACGGCTAAAGGCTCTGCTGATGACACGAGCCTGCAGGGTGGGTGGGGCCCTCTGGATGTACAAGATGGAACAGGTGGCTTCTGCTGAGGCAACAGGTGTATGTGTGTGTGTATCAGTTTCACTGCCAGGCCAAGCTGCCTTTCCCTCTGGGTGGTCTTCTCTTTAAGACAACAGGGCAGGCTGCAGTTACTTCTGGCACAGTGTGAAGGTCGTGCTGGGAGTCCCTGGCACCATACTCCCACCTTACTTAGAGGTGAGTGCAGCAGCAGCCTGGGGGCAAACACCAGAGACAGCCCCGACAGAGGAGGGGGCGGTACAGTGTAGCAATCCCTTACACTGTGGCCTGAGACCGCTGCTGGCCCCAGGGCCCTACGATCCCTGATGTGGAGGTTTCAGTGCCCCCAGCCCCAGGGCTCTGCTGGGAACATTATTACTCAGAGCTTTAGTGTTCTCCTAAACTGCAGAATGTTCTATTCTGATTGATTTCTCCACAGCCAATTCCATCAGCTTTATATAAAGTATTCCAGAAATTATGCCAAATTGCTGACCTACTGATAGGACCCTTCCCCTGTTTTCTATCTTTGCTCAAGCTCATTGTAATTTTTATATCTCTCCCGCCATGTCACTTGGACTTTGGAAGGGAAAGGAAGTTTGTATGATCTCAGGCCATCATCTTGAACTGGAAGTCTTAACAGTAGTTACTGAGTGACTTTTTATATCAAATCTTTCCAGCTCAGATGCTGTTGAGAAGTATCGCAGGCCAGGTCTACGCAGTACAGCACTGATGTTCTCTGGGAGGCCGCCTGGACTCCCAACTACATGATACACCTGTGATACTGTCCCACAGATATCACTGATACTCTACTCATTTTTTCCAGCCTTTTTTCTCTCTGGATAATGTCTACTGATTGGTTTTCAAGTTCACTGGCTCTTCTGTATCTCTAATTTGTTGTTTAAATGACTCTGTAACTTGTTATATTAGCTGTTTAATTTTCTAGTTTCAGAATACCTACTAGGTTCTTTTTTTTACAGTTTTTATTTCTCTGTGGAGATCTGCTATTTGTTTGTCATGACGAGCATATTTTCCTCTACGCCCTGAGTACAGTTACAGTAGCTGTTTTAAAATCCTGTCCATTAATACCAAGGTCAGAATCGCTTTGGGGTAAATAAGGAGTGACTGCCAATGGGTGCACAATTTCTTTTGGGGGTGATAAAAAAGTTCTAAAATTGACTATGGTGATGGTTTCATCCACAGAAGAATATCTCAATTTCCTAATTAATAGCATTCCCTGTCATCGAGTCCCTTATACCAAGTGCTGACTTAGCATCAATCCCAAACACTAGAATTCTCTAGAAAGAAAATTAACTCCTATCAGACTATGGAGATGTAACAACAAATTATAGTGCATGAAACTTGTTTGGATCCCAGTCCCTATAAAAAACTATAGGGCTTCCCTGGTGGCGCAGTGCTTGAGAGTCCGCCTGCCGTTGCGGGAGACGAGGGTTCGTGCCCCGTTTCGGGAGGATCCCGCGTGCCGCGGAGCGGCTGGGCCCGTGAGCCATGGCCGCCATCTCAGTTTACGTGCCCTGGAACACGTGTTGGCCGTTCAAGACGCTTTCCTGAAAAAAAAAAAAAAAAAAAAAAAAAAAACTATAAAGGACATTTTGGGGACAGCTGGGAAAATCTTCACATGGGGTATTAGATGATGCTAAGAAATTAAGACTAATTTTACTAGATGTGATAACGGCATTGTGGTTTCGAGGAGGATGTTTAGAAGGTGCATGCTGAAATATTTAGAAGTTAAGTATCATGAAGTCCACAGCTTACTGCCAACTGGTTCAGTTAAACACACACATACAGAAGGCAAACACTGCAAAATACTACCCACTGTCACATCCAGGCAGGAGGTGCTAAGTACCACACTACTCTCACAGTATTTCTATACATTTCAACTTTTCATTTCAAAAAACTTGGGAGAGAAACTACATGGCTAAAAAAAAAATTTATTAAGGTTTTTCAGCCTTTTTTTTTTTTTTTTTTTTTTTTT